TAGATAGATAGATAGATAGATAGATAGATAGATAGATAGATAGATAGATAGATAGATAGATAGATAGATAGATAGATGATAGATAGATAGATATTGAGATAGATAGATACAGACAGACAGACAGTATAGAAAGTTAGGAGATAGGTAAGTAGGTGGAGAGAGAGAGACATACATACAATTAGAGAAATGTATGATAGATGGATGGATGGACAGACAGACGGATAGAGACAAGAGAAAAAGAGAGAGTACAGATAGAACGATAGACAGATATAGAATAGATAAATAGACCGATACAATGGGAAGATTATCCATCCACCATCCATCCATTTAGATATAAGTAGATAGAGGGAGGGAGAAGTCTTTGCAATAGATCTACTCCCTAATAGGAAATCTCGTCTCCATTCCATTGAGGGACCTCACAGCATTAACAATGTCAACAATGACAGACAGCCTCCTCACCCGCCACCTTGCTACGTACACAAATGGCATTGATGTCCGACTCGTGGCCGGTGAAGGTCTGCCTGCACATCCCTTCTCGGACATCCCACAGCTTGGCTGAGGCATCGCAGGCACCAGAGACAAAACACTTGGAATCCGGAGCGAGGGATAGGCTCATGACATCGCCGGTGTGGCCGGTAAACGTGGTCGTTTGCTGTCCGGTTTCTATGTCCCACAGGGCGCTGCGGTAGGGTGGGAGAAGGAAAAAGCCACCGTCAGAATCACCGAGTCAAGTCTTCTAGGCCAGGAGTCCCCAACCTTTTGGACCTCAGGGACCCCTGAATCCATAATTTTAAATCTCGCGGACCACCAATATATGATCTGCCTAATGACAGACTGGGTGGGCGTGGCCAACTCAACGTCATGTCAAGGGACGCCTTGCCAGCCTCTACCCACCACTCCTTGCCTGCCTGCCAGGGCTCCGTAGGGCCCCAACGGGAAGCAGTTGCTGGAGCTAAGCAGCCACCAGGAGGAAGAGTTGGCAACAGAGCTCTGTTCAAATTGGATCTGACCGAGAAGGAGGCTCAGCAGAAGCACCTCACTGAGGACTAGGAGTTTAGGCTTTCCAAGCAGAGGGAAGAGCTGAGGGAGTGCAAGTTCAGGTACTGGCACCTGGAGGCTCAGTGGGCTGAGATGGTCAGCCAGTTCCAGGCCATGATAAACAGTTCCACTAGTACGAGGCCCTCCGGCTCTTCGCCACCAGCTGTACTTCCCTCCAGCCTTCGCCCAAAGCCCTCCACCAGGAGGCTGAAGCAGACCCCAAGTTGGAATTTCTGCCCCCCTCCAACCCGTACAAAAAGACTCCGAAGGGGGAGACTCTCTGCAGCAACACAAGCATTCATTGCACGTATCTGTCCCGGGGGGTGTGTGTAGTTTGAGGACCCCTGATTTAGTGCAATATAAAAAAATACAAATAATTTTTCTGTGGACTACCGGTGGTCCATGGACCACCAGCTGGTGACTGCTGTTCTAGGGGCTTCTCCCCCTCCCTTAAACCCCTGCTGGATTCCCACGCACAGATCAGATTTCTAAATTTGCAATCTTTTCTCTGACTCACAGGCCTTAAAAGACCCGCTTTTATTCTCAACTTTGTTTTATTTATTTTTTTAAAAAAATAAGCAGATTATCTCCATGACTTAAAAAAGGAGGCCATCGCTCTGACGGCAAGATCCCAGCATTCAAAGCTTAAGTATTGCGGTTTATTATGTGAGATAAAACTGGATGCCCGCATCGATCTGAAGACATCAAAACAGGGATGGGGACGGAGGAGTTAAAAAAAGGCCGAGCAGAATAGAAATGGGCTTCGTCCACTACCATAAAATAAAAATCTTGATTAAATCTGGGGAAGTGCTTTTGGCTAGTATTTCTGGGATGATCAGGAAGGGATTGGAGGGGAGCTCCGCAGAGGTTGTGACTCCTAATGGTTAAAAGGCACAAGCTTTCATCACGAAGCCACCACCACCACCCTTTTGATTTTGGGGTGCTAAAAATAAACTCCTGCTTGAACATTGCTGCTGGGAGAAAACAGCCTTCTCCCTCCCTCCCTTTTTATGTTTCTGCAGGATTTCAAGGCTGGCCGGGGAGAGAACAAGTGTCGGGCCTGCAGCCATATTTCCTTTTGGATCTTTGGCCTGCCACACTTTCTATTATTTTAACTATGCATTTTCTATGGTGGGAAAATTTGGAGTTAGACGATATGTAGCCATAACAACATTCTTCTTAGAAAGCCAAGGTCATCCTTTGTCTTTGCACCTCTGCACCTGACCGGAACTGGATGGGAGGAATCTGTCTTTGTGGCAGTGGAAGATTGGACCGTGGGATGGACTTGGGGTGTGGGGGGCAGGATCTTGAACTTTCAACTGGGTGGGGAAAACCGGGAAGCTTTCAGATTCAGGTTTTCCCAGATGTGCCAACATGGCTCTCTTAATAAATTGGAACTTTGAGCAATACTTTGCCTCGGGCTCTGGTTTATTTTTGGATGCTATTTAGCACCCTGACAACAAGATTTTGACCAAATGTTCCAACGTTTTGGTTTTTTGGAGCATGCAAAGCTACAACAGTCGTGTAACCCGAGTCCGGATCTTACCAAGTGGTGTCTCCAGAGCTGGTCACAATCTGATTATCATCCACAAACCGGCAACAGGACAAATATCCTAGCAAAAGAGAAAAGCGAGAGAGGGGGAGGGGGTCAAGCCTTTCCAGGAGGTCCAAGCAAGCAAGGAACTGCTAATCATGAGGACTAGCATCACCTGTGCTGGAGGGTTCCACTAACAGAGTCTTGAAAGCCCGAAAGCATGATCCACCCTCTTCCCTTCTTGCCTTGACAGCTAAGCTCCTGACTTACAACAGTTCATTTAGCGACCGTTCCAAGTTACCATGGGATCGAAAACAGTGACTTAAGGACCATTTTTCACACTTAACGACCGTTGCAGCATTCCCACGGTCACATGATCAAAATTCAGACTCTCGGCAATTGACGTAGTTATGACGGTTGCAGCAGATTCACTTAAGAGCCGTGTTACTAACTTAACCGCCGCAGTGATTCACTGAACAACGGCAGCCAGAAAGGCCGTGAAAACTTGCTTAACCAATCTTGTTTAACAACAGAGGTTTTGAGCTCGATTATGGTCGTAAGCAGAGGACTACCTGTACTTTCCAGAGAATTAGCGAGGGTCCCTTAACACTTCCCACACCTCGTTCCTTTGGAAGCATCTTATCTAGGGGTGTCAAAACTCGATTTCATTGAGGGCTGCATCAGGATTGTGTTTGACCTGGGGGGGAGGCACAGCTAAGGTGGGCATGGCCACCTTGATGTCAGTTGTGTCGGGGGTGCCTGTGGTGGGGGCACATTGCCAGCGAAAATGGGCCCATGAACTCCATTTTCGGCTGCAATGGCCTTCTGCAACCCTCTGCAAGGGAAAACAGAACTGGGGAGGGGGTGGGATGGGGGCATGCACCGCAGGCAAGTCCTTCGCTATTTCCAGGGCAGCCCCGTGGGCCAGAGCTGCCGGAAGACAAGAACAACTAAGAAAGCAGGGTTGACTTGGGAGTAAAGCCATACTTGGAGGTGAATGGCCCCTCCCATAGCAAACAAAAGAGGAGCGAATGGGGAGGGGGCTTTTTTAGGAAACAATTCGTTCCTTTGGTCGTGTCGAGAGTGGAAAGTTCTGTTTGTGACTAAGAGACTCTGTGCCTAGTGTTTGGAAACTAGTTATCTGGCAGCTGTCCAAGCGAGATAAGGTGCGTGTGGATAAACATTCCTTTGAAAGACTGTTTGCTAAGCCTTGCTGACTGCGAATGAAAGGAATTCACAGTCGTATAAATATAAAAGGGGTTTTGCTGGGACCAAGACTCTGTTTTTTGCTTTTTAAGGAAGCCTGGCTCAGAACAAGGATCTGATCCAGCAAGATATCCCAGGATAGCTTCAAAGAAACCCAAGGCCAGAGGAAAAAAATGGTTCCAGCCCTTTGCCATAAATATCCCCCGCAATTTTTCGATTCAACTCAGGCTTTACTCAGAAAATGTTCCCATCTGACTCTCACCTGTAAACCTGGTCGGATTTATAAATAGCTCTTTATTGCTGTCGTATAACCTCGGCTTCCCACCTTCCCTCCCCGGCGAGCTCTTCTCGGAGAGCTGCTTTTTGTCTCCATCCAAAAAGCCTACGCAGCAGAGCAAAGTCAGCGGGATGCAGAGCTTTGCTGGAGGTGGGGGAGCTTTTAAGAAGTGCCAAAGGTTTTCCGGAGCCAAGCTGGCAAGTGGGAGGAAGCGGAGCCCTCATTTTTTATTTATTTATTTTGCAAACAGAAAGAAGAGCGGAGTAAAAATAAGGGGGATGAGCTGGATGCCCCCTGGGGAGCAAAAGGGTTTGTTTGTTTTGGAGAGGATTCGTGTCACCCCCCTTCCATCTTTAAGAAGCTCCGTAGAAAGGGAGGTGGGTTATGGGCTATCTCTAGGGACCAGCAGCCCCAAGGCCGTAAGGAAGGATGCTCACTTCTCTCTGGGCTGGGCTGGGATATATTAAAACGAGCCTGATGTTTGGTGATGCAGAATTGCATCTTGCTTTTCCTCTAGAAGAGCGGTTCTCAACCTGTGGGTCGGGACCCCTTTGGGGGGGGTCGAACGACCCTTTCACAGGGGTCGCCTAAGACCGGGGTCACCACAACATGAGGAAGTGTATTAAAGGCTCGTGGCATTAGGAAGGTTGAGAGCCACTGGTCTAGAACAAGGACATCCAACCTTGGCAATTTTTAAAGACCTGTGGACTTCAACATGGCCGACTAGGGAATTCTGGGAGTTGAAGTCCACAGGTCGTTTAAAGCTGCAATGCTGGATGGGGAATTCTGGGAGCTTTCAGATTCGGGTTCCCCCAGATGTGCCAACATGGCTGTCATAATTGGAACTTTTGCCTCGGACTCTGATTTACTTTTGGGTGCTATTTGGAACCCTGACATTAACCCGAATCTCTATTAAAATACTTCACCAGCTACCCCGACCTTCAGGGTGCTGTCCGGGGTCCTGAACCCCAGCGCCAACCCAAACCCGGGCGGCGTAAAGACTCAGGGAAGATGGACAGCAGGCATATCTTTCCTGCATTGTCTGGACTTGCCAATCCTAAATAAAAACTTTGAAACCTTGGTGGGTTGGTATCAGAGGTGGTATTCAGCCACCTCGGGCCGGTTCGGGCAAACCGGTAGGGATGATGATCAGCTGGCCCTGCCCACCTGCCCCTGAGCTATCCTGCCACATATTTCCTTCTTTCTGGTTCAGCTGATTTCCGCCCCTCCGCAGTTCTATTTACCGAGGCTACCTTAGAAGGTAAGCAGCTGAGCTTCAAATGGCTGCACTTTGAACACTGCGCGCCGGCATATTAGGTGCCCGCCTGCGCACCCACTGAATTGGTTGTTAAACCAGTTGCATCCCAATAAGTATAAGTACAATCTTTATTGTGGTTGTACTTAAATGCAACGAAATACTAGTTGATATGCATGTGTGCATAGCTCAGAAACATGTTTTTTTTTAATTATTCGAGCAAAGCATCCTGACACATGGCTGAAATCACACGTTATTGAACCTTGGGTCTTCTGCAGGAGCAGAGGGTTGGACTAGAAGACCTCCAAGGTCCCTTCCACCTCTGTTATTCTGTACTCTAGGCCACTGTTGGCTTGAGCTCATCCAGAAAACTGGATCCTCAGGTAAGAGGATAGTCTTGGTTAACCCACAAGGAGGCAACCGACAGCTATGCAGGATTTCTTTGCCCAATATTTTTTTCACTCTCAAGGTGTGTTACATCACTGTCCTCACACCTGTTCTTCTCTGCAAGAACAACAAACGTTCCCAAAGGAATCCCACACAGAATAACTGGAAAAAGAGACATTTTAGCCCTGAAACCCTTTTAAAATCTGATGCCCAAGACCGAGATAAGTATCCCATCCGCTTATCCTCTTAAAAAAAAACCCACAACGTTCATCCTTTTTTATTAGCGCTCTGAACTTTGTGTCATGGTGAATTTTGCTTAATGGCCTGCAAGTGGACAGATGCCGATTCAGAGATATTCCCAATCAGGGAGAATTTCTCGGGATTGTCGTGCTAAGACTATTATGACAAAAGTGAGATTATCATCTTTTTAATGGCACGGGAGAGCAGCCGTTTGTGCGAATTGAACAGCGTAATTGGGACAGACGCAGTCAGTTCTCAATCTCTTCCTCTATGATTGGGGGTGGGAAGTACCGTATTTTTCAGAGTATAGGACACACCCTTTCCCCCCCGAAAAAGTAAGTAAAAATCTGGGCGCGTCTTATACACTGAATACAGCATTTTTGACCTCCTGAACCCCCCCCCTCTTTTGCAAAAATGGATGTGCATAGGCTTTGGAGGCTTGTAAAGTGCTCCTGGGGGCTGGGGAGCTCATTTTTGCCCCCACCCCCAAGAGCACTCTACAAGCCTCCCAAAGCCTCTGCATGCCTTCTTTTTTTTGGGGGGGGGGGGGGAGGAGGCATGCAGAGGGTTTGGGAGGCTTGTAGAGTGCAAAAACTTTTTTTTTTTAATTTACCTTTTCAAAATCATGGTGCATCTTATACTCCGGTGCGTCTTATAGTCGGAAAAAATACGGTACCACCTGACGTAAGGCGAGTTGCATAAAAATCACCCAGAATTTGGGATGTATTCTGAAGCCGACAAACAAGGTGATCTTTACAAGGATGCAGCGTCACCCAGGGGCCAAAGGAATGGAGCCTGGATGGGAAATGGGACATACCTGTGTGGCCGGCCAGCTCCCGGCTGACCCGGACATTGCCTTCGCGTGTTTTCAAGTTGTAAATGGAACAAATGTTATCGAGACCACCGCAGGCCACGTAGTTTCCGGAAGGGGCGTATGCGCAGGTCATGACCCAAGAGGAACGCAATGGGATGGCATGGACCTAGCAAAAGTATAGAAAAAATAAAAAGTATGATCATTTGGTGAGAACAAATAGGCTTACTTACATGAGTTGATAGATGTTTCACTGGCGCCTAAGTGGCAGGGGTGCAGATTTCCTGGCAAATTGGAGGCGGGAACTATTTGACCAATAAATTATCCTGAAATAAGGCTAAAGTTATCCTTTGACCCACAGAAATGAAACTGCACCAGCATTTTCTCAAGAAAATGAATGGAGGTATCGGAAAGGCTGATCTGGCATCGTGCTGCTGCTTTTTAAGTGGTTCATTTTTATTTGGCAAGCCATTTAGGGAAAAGGCCTCTCAATCAACCGGTGGAACAGAAGAAGTTGCCTTCGGAAGTTGTGGGAGCTTCAACCCTGGAGGCTTTCAAGAAGAGACTGGACTGCTATCTGTCAGAAATGGTGTAGGGTTTCCTTCCTTGGGTGGGGGTTTGGACTAGATGATCTGCAAGGTCCATTCCAACTCTGTTATTCAGTGGAATGGCTTGCCTTCAGAAGTTATGGGAGATTCATCACTGGTGGCTTTCAGGAAGAGACTGGACTGCCATCTGTCAGAAATGGTGTAGTGTCTCCTGCTTGGGCAGGGGGTTGGACTAGACCAGGGGTCGACAAACTTAAACACTCAAAGAGCCATTTGGATCCGTTTCCCACAGAAAAGAAAACACCGGGAGCCACAAAGGTCCTAACCGGAAGCCCCCCGTTCAATTCTCGAGCTGCTGACCGGAAGTTCAGTTCCCCCACCATAGAGTCCCCTCCAAGCACAGTGTACTTTTTCCTCTACCGGTCATAACTGGAAGCCCTATCAATTGTGGAGACAACTGGAAAACCCTCCCCTTGCCATAGAGTCTTCTCTAGGGGCACTGCGCTTCTTCCCCTTCCCCCACCCCCCTGGAAGCTCCTCTCAAAATTGTGGCGCCAACTGGTGACGGAGCCACAGCAGAGGGAGGAAAGAGCCACATGCGGCTCCACCGTCCAGGCCTTCCGCACAGCCCT